GGACAAAACAAGGCAAAGGCGGGAGCAGATGCCTTAATTCTGCATTAAGCACTGAGCACCAGGGATGTAAGACTATTACTTGATTTATATATCCCCATGCTAAGGTACAGACAGCAAAGGGGCAAAAAATGCCTATTTTTCTACTCTGCAAGTTTCAACACTTCTCCAGAACCAAAATTAAAAGTGTTTTCACCTCTATGTAGTTGCTTTTAGCAAACATTGAGTTTCAACTTCCACTCTAGTTTTTCCACACTACATGTTTTTGTGGGGACTTCTACCATAAAAATGGAAGTGGCTGACTGCCTGTGCCATTTCATTTCCCAAATCCAGATATTTCATATACCTGTGTGGGGAAAATATTAATTTACTCTACGGGCTTGTAATGCAGCATTTTAATGCATTTCTTTATTAGATTTTTGAGTTCTCATTCATTTTCTTGGCAGTATGTTTGAAAGCGTCACAATTTGAGCATCTAACCTGGCCTCAATTCAGATTTAGGAGCCCATGGGAAAATCCTGTATTAATTTAATCAAACACAGAGGAATAGTGCTGGGAAACACAGGAAAAAAGACTCTGTACATATTCCCTGCTGACAATACTGCTCTAGCTCCCACATATTGACCTGGAGCTGTTTCAAGAAGACATCCCTGTCAATGCTTGTCACACAATTAAACCCTTAGAACTGCTGAATGGAGTGATCAGAATTTCACATATATTGGCTGTTCAGCTCAGCCATAAGTGATACCTGTGGCAGAAGAGCTCAGATTTTATGGTAGAGGCCTCCTTTAAAAATGTACTCTCACACACCATAAAAACATGCCTGCCATAGAAACATACTAGGGAATACAATTTCTTAAGCCCTGGAAATTTTTATTTATTTTGACAATGTGAGTAATCTCTCTGCATTGTTTTGGACAGGTACATGGGCAGTAATTCCATGTGCACTACTTACAATTGTGTGCACACACTGCCACATCACCCAGCAGTACAAATTTGGCCTTAAACAGACATGAGCCCAGAACTGCATGTATGTGGGAATGGCCAGGCCTGACAACTTGGAGTTTATGTTGGCTGCAGAGGACTTGAAGATATCTAATGCCAAAGGAATCTTGAGAACCACCCTGAGAACCAGCCACACGGTGGCCACGGTGGCCACACAGTCTAAACCAGCCCTCTGGATGGAACAAATACAAAATAAAGGAGACACGAGAGGTTTTCTCTTAAGTATGGAAGGAACAAATGAAAACTGTTTTCTCAGCAACAGTGTGGTTAACAGTTCTAGGTTAACTGTTGATTTACTTGTAACTCATCTTCACTTTCCACCAAGAAACATCTGCTACTGCAGAATTCAGAAGCTACAGAAGGACTTTCCTCTCACTCCCTGTTGCTCATCCAGCTTTGCTGGATAAATCCTCTAATGATTCTAGGGCTTCATAACAAAAGCCCTGTTTATTAGTTCAAATTCTTAATTCTGCAAGTGGCAGTCAGAGAAAACCCTAAGGAGAAGCAAATTTTTGAGACTTTGCTGTTGAGAAAATGAGTAAAGTCGTCATAAATCAAGATTAACTTTCATTACTTATATGCCAGCTTTCTTAGTCTTATTTTAAATTCAACCTATTTGGGATCCAGAGTGCTGGTTCAGAAATAGAAGGCTTTGAACCATTTTGTGTGTCAAGCATTTCAATTCTAGTTCTTTAGGAAAGTCAAGCCCTATATCAAAGTATACACTGTAATTTTTCCATTAACTTAGTGCCTTATTATTTGATGTGTAAAGGAGTATTTTGTTTTGTTATGCTTTTTTTTTTAAAGTGGGTGAAAATAACATGGAGGCTAACTTTCCCAAGAATTCCACTCTGGGCCATTAAAAAACAGTGACTCTTTTTCTGATGAGATCATGGTTTTACAATAATGCTGAAAAATGAAAAAAATATCAGGCACAGAGACTTGAAATCATCATGCTAACTCAGGTACAGTAAGTGATGGCACTGAAAACAGCACTCTTGTAAGAACACCAAATTCAACTATTTGGGTACCCAAATTCTCTATGTAAGAACTTCATTCAACACCTCTTTTGACTGAACACACTACAAAAGAGTTTCCATGTTTCAGATGGACAATACCCTTTCAATTCAGCATTTAACTTTCTAAAATTCACTTTATTTGAAGAATGACCATATTTCATTACTTCAGTTTATTTAGTTTCATGTTTTCTTTCCCCCTCTATCAACACTAAGTACAAATTCACCTGTTGGCATTTCAGAATCATTCAGCAATCATAACCCACCACTCTGCAGGGCTGATTCACATCTTCTGTGCTGACTTCAGAGAGAACAAAACAGCAGTATGTGACCAGCTCAATATTGAAAAAAAAACAGAAAAATTAGATACGAAATTTTGTACTGAACTACCCAGAGATCTCTCTATTTCACAAAAATGCTGAAGTTCTATTGCAAATTCAAGCTTACTAAGAGTGAAAAGTTCCTCTTGGGTTTTTTTGAAACAGCCAAGGACTGTTGACTTCAATAATTATTTCTCCAGTCATCAGTGATTCAACTGATCCAATTCAGCACGCCACAACACTGCTCTGTACTTTCTTGCTGTTTCCTAAATGATTAGCAGTTCTAACAAAAAAAGCCTTTGCAAGAAGTTTGTATTAGCTTATAAAAGGTAAAACATCCAAGTTTTTCATCAACATCACTTGGCTACCAGCTACACTACTATTCCCTAAATCAGTGCCACTAGAATGTGTTCCAGTGAGGGCTGGTTTACTGGTTTCTGAACTCTAGGATACACAGCTGAGAAATCCTGCTGAATAAATACCCCATGGTGACCAATTCCACATAAGGAGCTATGGAGATTGTTGCAAATGCATTGGCTTCTTCTTGGGGATCACATTCCAATTTTCTGCTGGGTGCTGTCGTGCTGGTTTCCTTCCAGAGAGCCATCTTCTTGTGAGCTAACAACAGAGCCTACCTGCTGGGCTGCCACCAGACACAAATGTTTCTCATTTGAAAAGCAGAAACAGGAGGTACCAGCTTCCTGTATTATCACAGCTGACCTTAGAAAAGTATTTTGTATATTTCTATTAGATTTCTCCAAAATGTTATATGAGTAATATTCCTCATAGGTTTTAGTTATCTACAGTATTCCATCAGGTGTTTCCAAAATCTAAAGAGACAGGATGCATCAGGAATTATGGCTGTGCTCTGACAGTCTGCAGTATGGTCTTATGCTAGAAGATGAAACTCTGTTTCTTCTCTGGTAGATTGATCTTAAATACAAATACATATTCAGTGAGTAATCTGGACAAAAAGTGGTTCATGATATTTAAAGGCATCTTGGTAAGGGATACCATGGCAAGAAATAGTGAACATCCTATTTTATACATATTTTTCTTCTCTTTATTTATTTTAATTTTCATGGAAAATTATGCACGTGTCACTATTTTATCACCTCTTAATTAATATATGTCATTTTAAAGAATCAAAACAGGAATTCAAAGTAGATCACTGTGTTTAGAAATGTTCAGTATGTAAGGAAAATAAATGCCTCACTTATAGCACAAAACTCTGTGGTGTACACTAAAAGTTCATCTGTGCTATGCAAAGAAATGTATTTGCAAACAGTAATTTACAGAGTACCTGTCAGGGATCAACAGAACAATGCATGCCTGCTGAACCACAACTGTGGACTCACCTTTGGTCATTTTAAAGACTTGACTAGACTAAAGTCATAGCTGAGCCCTGATCTACTGCCAGTACCAATCCAGGTTGGAACAGAAACTGGACTAGATGCCCTCCAGAGGCCCCTTCCAGAGAACATTTCTATGATTCTCTGATTTCATGGTACTGTGCAAGGTTACCACATTCTTAACAAACGATTTTATGAAAAAAATATGTCATGGTAACAAAAATCTCACAATCAAAACTGGCCTTTTGAACTGTATTAAGACAACAGCAATATATTATAAAATCAACATCAACACTGACATATTAAAATAAATGCAACAGAGGCCTACAGAAGGCATCCAGCTGAAAGAGGATCACTTTCTCCAAGTTGGATAATCGACTTCTGCCTTATCAAGAGATCATATTAAACCATTTCTTCTGACCACATGTTGCCAAAAGCCTGATAAAGTAAGCCTACAATTCTGTAAGCTTTTTACAACCTTTCAAAAATTTTTGTTGTAGTTTTGCCCAGTGGTTCATACTACTATTTTTAAGGTAAACAGAATTTTGTTTGCACACTCGTTTAAAACTTTTAGTGCAAGCCCAGAACTGATCAAAGGTTTAAAGTGAAGGCAGTCAGCTCCTTAGAAAAACATTACACCACCAGAAAAGCAAGGGCTGGGCTCAAGAAACCAGGTTCAAGAAATGAAGCCAAAAACCATTCTTCTACTTACATCCTTACATATGTACATACATATCCTCTTAAATAATCAGTGACTGTTTTGATTTCGAGCTGAGGACATTACCAAAACCTGACACTATTTTTAGACAATGTTTATTAAACAAACACTATATCTTAGTTCCTTCGGGGATGCAGAGGGATGCAACTGTTGCACGGTTCACCTGGTGGCCTGATGCCAGGACAGCACTTCTGCCACATACTCCTTATAACCGAGGGAACCGCGGGGCTCACTGCCATCCCCCGCGGCTCCTGGACACCGGGAAAGATGGATCGAGGCGGGTTTTGGAGGCGTTAAGGGAGGCCGTGAGCGGGACGAGGTGCGGCAGGGGCCGCGCTGGTTTGTCACGTCTGGGAGCCGCGTCCTGGGTGCCTCTGCCGGGCCGCAGAGCTGCGGGCACCGCTGCCGGTGCCGGTGCCGCTGCCGGCCCCTGCGGCCCGCAGACCCGCCCGGCACGGCAAACGGAGCGCTGGTACCCGGTACCCGGCCCGGCTCCCGGAGCTGCGCGCCCCCGCGGAAGGCGCGCACACAGACGCGCATCCACAGACAGACACACGGACGGACGCGCGCAGACACGCGCACAGACACTTACTTGATGTCCTCCCAGACGGCGGGGCCGTAGTTGCGGATGACGAGCAGCTCCAGGGCGTGATTGACGAAGCCGTACTGCGGGGCAGGACGAGGCGGTGGCACGGTCAGGCCCCGGGCGGCAGCGTAGCCCCTTCCCCCGCCGCGCAGCATCCCACCCCACCCCGCCCATCACCCCGCCGGGAAGCGACCCCACCGAAACATCACCCATCTCCCCCGAAACAAAGCTATGGGGCCCGGCTGCCCGCTTCCCAAGGGGATTCAGCCCCTTCCCTCCCACCGCGGGCCCGGTGCCGGCAGAGCGGGCGGCCCGGCGGAGCTCACCATGGTGCCGCCGCCGCCGCCGCCACCAGCAGAGGATGGGCCCGGCCGCCTCACCACCTCCCCCGGCCGCCGCCGCCCCGAGTGGCACCCGCCGGCAGCCAATGGCGAGCGCGACCGCTGCCCGAGGGGCCAATGGCGGGCGCGGCCGCCGCGCTCTCCACCAATCAGAGGCGGAGGCGGGGCTGCGGGAGCCGAGGGCCGCGCGGGGGCCACGGCCGGCGCCGCCCGGGGCTGAGGGGCGGCCGCTGCCCGTGGCCGGCCCAGAGCCGCGGGTCCGGCTCGGTGCTGCTGGCAGTGCCGTCCTGCTCGCAGTGCTTGCGTGGGAACCTGTAGAACAGTTCCCCGTGCATCGGCTGCCTTCGCAGGAATGCTTCAGTTGTTTCTTGTACCGATGCAACCACTTAGTTTTTAGGATGAAAAATGTCCACAAAAAAGGGAAGAATCTGAGCGACAAAGTGATCCCAGACATTTCTGCTCTTGTGCATTCATTTCTCAAAGACCAGCGAAGTTAAAAGCATAATAATGAGTGCTTTCAGTAATGGAATTTTTGTGTGTTTCTGAGTCCTTTCAGGTGTTAGTGTGAATAAATACAGTGCTGTATCATTAACCTCCTGAACATGGATTCTTAGACAGTTCTCTAGGTATGACCCTTACAACAGGAGGTCTTGAGCAGAGACAATATGCCAAGGCCAGTTTGGAAATAACACAGTCTATCATGCTGTCATATACAAGGAATAAAAAAAGATTATACAGCACCATATATTTTAAAACCCTTTGTACGATCGAAAGACCTGGCCCCAGTGTATGAAATAAAAAATTTAAGGAGACCACTAACTTTTTAAAACTTGTTTAAGAAGAGTCACAGCATACTAAAAATATAGTTAGTTTATCTAGGAGGACAAGGAGATGAGTACCTAGTGGACTACCAATGTAGTAGCTCTTGGGCAGAAACCTTGCTACATGAAGCCATAAACACTAGTCAGACCAGATCAATTCTAAATGTAGGTAAAATCACAGAAGTTCAGACCTTAGTAAAATAGTGCAAAATAAGTTTAACATTTGAACTGTTCACACAGTTCTTAAAAAAAAAACCATGAATCATTGATGTTGGAGGTTCCATGTAAATAAGTTTAAAAATGGCAGCATGTAAAATCTTTTGAAATTTCAGCCACTGCCTGGTCAACTTTTGAATCTGTGTTAAGAGCTTTTAAAAGTTCTAAAAAGTGAGGACACGAATGGATGGGCATTAGAAATTTAGCAAAATCATCTCAGTAGACATTCCAAGAACAGCAGAAGCAAACTCTAGTTTTAGGTTTTGTCGGCATAGTCATCAGTTCTACTTAACACAGTCCAAATCTACTGGGAAAACCAATTTTAGGATTTTTAAAAGAATGATCAAGAAAAAAAGCTTCAGTATAACCAGTTAAAATCATACAAGTAATATGCTAATTTTAAGGGAGAAAGAAAATATTTAGATAAATTAACCAAACTGTTCCAAACTACTGGTTGAATATCTCTGTGTAGAACACCAAATAAAAACTGAAGAGATGTAAATCTCTAAAAATCTTTTCAATTTCCAGGAAACTGGTGACAAAGATAATGTAATAAATCACGCTGTTGGAACCAGACCAAAGGCTGTGCTTTGCTGTAGCTAAAGAGGGGTTGTCACCAGTTAACTAAGATTTGAACGTGTCAGGTCACTATCTACTTTTTACTTTTTGTAGGAAGTGAATTTTGGGAAAATGGGAAAACTCATCCTACCATACAAATGTTGTAGTTACATCTTTGTGTGCCTGCTGCTGGTAATGAAAAGACAACACCTGGGACTTTTGCCCTCCAGTGGGGTTGGTCTTCTCCTTCAAGCACTTATAAAAGAGTTTTGAGGATACAAATGTCACGGAATTCCTGGCAGCATGTCCCAGGCAGGAAACAAGTTGACTGTATGGAAAATAGGTGTAAAAGATATTCTTTACAGGTTTCAAAGGAATCCACTTTGTATATGGAGTGAGCCCTCATGCTCATGAAGTATTAGAGAGATTATATGAAAATATTTTTAGTTATGGTTTTCAGAAGGTGGATTATCTGGTGATTTTGTGTACCTGAGTGACACTTTTTTGAAAGTGCTAACATCTACAAGGGTCAAAATTCCTTAGATAAATATGAAATTGCCTTTTTTCTGATTTGGTTCAGGCTTGGTAGGTTGCATTTACAGGCTGTTCTTGAGATTAACCCAATATGATACAAATGGAAGTTCTAGACAAGGTGAGATTTGTAAAATGTGAAGTGAAAATGGCATGGTCAGAGTAAAAGCAGGCAGTCATTGATTTAGTTTTCTAAAATAGAGGTGTCGTTTGGAAGATGCTGAATTAAAGAATTCAACCAAGTGATTTGCTGAGAAGAACAAGCTTCCATTCCAGATACCTGCACAGTCAAGAGTCTTTGGAAAGAAGATTTGCTTTCATCTGAAGGAGAGGCTAAATATCAATAAGATAAATTATTCCATTATAGCATACAATCAAATTCCCATTTGGTGACCCTCATGCACTAGGTACATGTTATACATGTTTTATTTTAACATGTTTCTTCCTGATTTGAGATGCTGACTTCATCTGGCAATTCTTGGTGAGATTGATGAAAGCAGAGAGTAGCATAGGATCCTTTTATGTTGTGTGAAAGGGCAGATGCTGAGACAGTAACATTCAGCTCAATATGGTTTGTGTTAATGCACAAGCACTATAAAACAAAGCAAGTATTTTAATAAGTTGCATTTTTTACTTTGGACTTTGCTTTTACAGTTTATTTTGTTACTGAAGTCCTGAATAAAAAGACTGCCTTATATGGTACTGCTGGATTCCACTTGCTGAAGATGGAGTCACTTTACTGACATGGAAAATACTATAGGTATTTTCTAGTTATGGTCTGAGACCTGACATTTGGAATTGTCATAACAATACTTCTCAGGTGCAGAAACACCCTTGTAAGTTCACTTCAGCAAGATTCATTATTTCTACTATACCACTATACAGTGTTCTCCTATACATTACATCATTTTTTTCAGTCCTGGTATTGACAAGCTATGATGAACCAGCCCTAAATATTCCCATGCTGGTCTGTAATGCAGTAAGATGTGTACATTTGAGAAACAGAGAGCTCTATAGCATCCTCCTGTTAGAGGAATGTAATCTTAGCCATGCAGAGTGAACTAATAATATGTATGAATTTTCCCCAACATTTTCTGCAATCAGTGGAAAGATTTCTGTTCATTTTCACATGCTTGTAGTCCAAAGCCCCTGGGAATGCCTTTGTCCTTGATACTTCTTTGGCAGGTTTTGTTTGGGCTGAAAAATCAGAAGAGTGGAAATGTTTCTATGTCTGAATCCAGCTCTTTTCACATCCTTGGGATGCTACTGCATGTATTCTCTCAGTTATTTCCCCACTGTGTGCTGCTGTGTGTGCAGGATATGCATTTGCCATAGTAGCACAAAAAATTGTAATTTTCTACTGCTCAAAAAATGAGAAGCAATTTTAGCACAGATCTTCAAAGGCCATCTTATAACGAGGCTGCAAAGCAATGTGCTCATTTACATTTCTATTAGGAAACCACTGGCTTGACTTTGCTTTCAGCATCAAAAGTCTGCTGAAGCAGATGAGACACATAACTTTATAAAGTTGTTTACTTCATTTCAGATTCTTTCACAGTTTATTATTTCTTTGACTGGCTTTCCAGATTATGTTCCACCCTAACTGCATATTTAACATTCAGATCCCACTGCTTGTGCTCTGAAGAATATGTATCTTTAAACTGTTACATCTGGACATAGCAAAAGTTCCAGACTCATCGATTATCTTTCTTCTTTTATTTGTGTTTCAGTATCAGACCAATGGTCAGTAACCTAAGACAGTAGCTTGTACTCTCCCTCCATGCTCTGCAGAAAAGGACTGCCAGTGAACATATGCAAATAGGATTGGAAAATTTAAAATAAAACCAAAACCAAATAAACCTTATATCTGATTATTTTCTTCCTATGCAGTTGTAAACAGCCACACAATCAGAGGTGGCTTTAGAAGTCTCAAAAGACTGTTATGGCACACACCTTGCAGACTTTAGAGGCAGGAAAGCAAGTCCTAGCTCTCATTTTAGAAAGTTATATTTGGTTTCTGCCAAGCTGACTTAAGATAAACTGGAGCAGAGCTTTGAAAGCAACTCAGTACCTTGTACACTCTATGGCAAACAGCCACAAAAGTCTTTGCTGTTGCAGGAAGCAAATCTCCCACCGCTTTCGCAGAACAATGGGCAGGCATTAAAAAAAATGTTAGCAGATGGAGTAGCCTGTAGGTTGTAGGATGGGTGGGGTTTGAAAAAGGGTCCCCTTGCCAAGATTCAAGAGCAATTCCCTTAATTCTGCTGGCCTTTGGTTGGAAATACCGATTTTGCCCCCTGTACTATTAATTGCAGCTGTTTCTGGAAAGATTGCAAAAGAAAATGATGGGAGAAATAAACTGGGGGAGGTCTCAATTCTGCCTTCACCAGTTTTCCCAGGAAGAAGTAGATCTGTCCCAGGGGCTCAATTATCTGTGCACTTCACTGTTCTGTCAGTTTCCTTTGCTCTGGTTTTGCACAGTAGTTCAGAGAGAAGGAAAGCATCAGCTCCACACTAATTGCACTTCCTCTGACACCAGCAATGCAAATTTTTCCGACATCCCCCTGAAATCTTATCAGGTCATGCCTGAATGAAATAAAATTAATTGAATTCTTTTGGTATAGCTTTCACTTTAGCTATGTCAGTGCTAAGATTCAAAGGACCCACTTTTTATTTCAAGGGCCATTTACACTTCTTTGGCAAAGAAACTGCAGTGATAAAAATGTATCTTCCATCACACAGTGTAAGTGTGAACAGGAATCAGCTACACAGAATCTTCGTGAACTAATAAAATAAAGTTTCACACATAACAAAACTGTTTCTGGACATAATACTAAGGTATTTTTATATTCATATAAATAGCATTCCATAGTCTCTGAACATTTTCACAATATCATACACTATACTACAGAAGAGATCAACTTAAAAACAACTCTATTATTTTCTTCCAAAATGTCCAAGTATTGTGTCAGCTAAATTGCCTTCCTTCTGTTTATCTCAACAACTTGCTTATTAGCTTTCTGATTCCTTTTGTTCCATTTAAATGAAATGATAAGTTAAAAGGTGAAAAGAATATTTTAGATCTAAGGGAAAAGATCAATTAAAATATTTGTCCCTTGTTAAATACATATTTATTCTGCAAAAGAATTTAAACAGAGGAACAGTTTCAGTGAGACCTAAATTCTTAAATTATGTTTAAAGCTAAATGGACTTATGAAGGATTTACTATACAACACGTCTGAACACAAGCACATTTTAAAGCACTTTCATGAATCTTTGTCTTAAATATGTGCCTAAATCCTGTTTACTTTCCTTAGACTCAAGTAGGTTGCTTTCTGTGCACACTAAAGCACCTCAGTAGAATTCTTCCTGGAAGGCTGTCACCTAAGGAAGGTTATCAAGAACTGCCATGAACATCCTATCTGATGACAGACTTATATGGAATTTGGCTTTGAGCATGGCCCTCATCCAGTCAGCAATAGTTGTCTTCTAGGAACAAAAGGAAATTCCCTCCTAAACGTACTTTCAGTCTGTGAAATAAATCCTTTTTATTTAAAAATCTATTTATTTCTTAACCAGGATGGATAGATTCATACTGACCTCAGTAATTTCTGGTTTAATACCATAAGCCTACTGAACTGTCAGGAGTCAAATACTCCCCCAGATTCTATATCCAGGGGTACCCACACAGGACTGCAAGTAACCTCTGGGTATTTCTCTCAATAGAACAGAACTATCTGACCAATATAATACTGGAAAGATCAGTCTCCAAGATTTGCATAGTTCTTGTTTCCTTGAAACACAGGGGTCCAAAGTGTTACAAATACATGTGCCTGTATATATGTATATATATGTGTGTATGTATATGTCTATATATATATAAAATAAGTTTTCTGGTTCCATTTTTGTGCCACAGAACTATTTCTAAGCATCTTGGATGGATATAGTAGACCTGAGGAAGGATTCAATGGTTCAAGTTTTGTTCAAATGCTCCTTACAGGAAATCTGAATTGAAATACGTCTTTAAAACATTCTTAATTCTAGTATCTTTTAACGTCATTTCTCAAGATTCTGATGCCACATGTATGAGTTTCTACCAAAAACTAGTAGGATTAAATTGTTTATTGAGCTTCAAAATGTACCAGTCAAGATCAGAAAATGAACAAAATAGCACCTTAGTCTAATAAAATTGCTCCCTGTAAATACTAATAGACCAAAATCTGATTTAGTGGTTTGAAGAGACATTTATGGCTTGATATGCCAAACCCCAGGAGCTGAAGAGGTCATAATAATAATACCTGATACAAATGGGAGTAGTATTATGTGCATAAGTGGGGCAGTTCTCCAGCCTGTAGTTGGGATCAAATTGTACAGCACAGAGGAATTTCTGGGCAGATGGATCTGCTATTCAGAGGCAGAATCCTAAACTCAGAACTCTTAACTAACTCTATTCTGCCAGTTCCACAGGCAAAGCCTTTAGGATTGTCCACTCATATTCCATCAGCCACAACAGAAAAGTTTGTACTGTAGTAGTACTAATCTTTGTAAATGTGTTCAGATGTTTAAAAGCATCTCTTTTCACCTGAAAATTCCCCTGGCAACTTCAGAGCGAGCATGTGATGGGCATTTCCATAGCACCTCACACCCACGTTGCATCCTCAGATAAGGATCAGAGATTTAAGCTGGTGTGCTTCCATTCCATACAGTCTAACTGGAATTCCATTTCTAAGCAAACATTCCAAAGCATATTTTATTACACTTCTGTTAAAACATTTCAAATTTAATTGACAACAAAAAGAAAACATTTATTGCTGTAATACATAATAACAAGTGGATATTATTATTTTTAAGTACTTTAAAAACCCTAAGAACTAAAATAGTTTGATGATTACAGAGATGTTAGTATGTGATTATACAGTATTTTAATCTATATTCATTTTATACACAAAATAAAGTTCATGAAACAGTAAGCAGCAACTCTGCTATGCATGTGTATTAGCTACAATTATCAGCCTGATCCAGAAAATGCTGAGCACCCTCATACTTTGACCAGCCAGTGTGAGAAGATGGTCAGCAGCCTTCTAGGATGGGGCCCAAATGATGCACTGGAAGGAGTATGTGATGGCAGTGACCTACTTTAATATTTTAATGGACATTTTCTTATGGAATCTCTAAGAAAATACATTTTCATAGTCATTGATAAGCACCAGCTCACAACACTGCATGTGGCTGCATCACTTGCACATTGCATTTCCTGACAAACTGCATATACAATACATCTAGAATTCTCAGTATAGAGAGAACTGTAGCACTTACAAATTACCACAGGGAAAATACAGTTTATAGTAGCATTTCCAACAGTGACATTGCAACATTACTTTAGCGATTATGTTCCTTATGCAAAGGAGAAATAAAAAGTAGTCAGTAACATACTTCCTGAAATTTTAATACTGGCTTTCAGGTGTTAACAATCTAAAGTGCTTTCATGTTTCATACAGTTTTAAAAATTTTCAACTTGTACCAAAAAAAAATCCAAATATTTATAAATTTATTCTATACATCTGTGAATACAATTTAGTCTATTCCTGTTTCCTCACCGAAAAAATTGGCATTGCCATCTCCCAAATCTCTCTTTTGAAACCAAGTCTGTGAGTTTGTTCCTTGAATATAAGCATCCAGAAAATAGCAAATTCCAGGGATATCACTTGGAAAATTTGGTGGAAGCTCCTCTCTTGAGCGTGGTGTGAACACAAAACCTGGGTATTCCTTTAACAACCTAAAACAAAAATTAAACATATTGATTAAAATCAACCAGTCACTAAGAACTGCAGATATTCAATAACTCTTCATATATGGCAGGGAGAATCCAATTTAATTTTTTTAGTTATTTACTGGAAATATAAAAAATAGTGTTTACCCTCATTAATTCTAATATGATTTACTTTTTCACATGTTGAAACAGAGACTGCTCTCTGTAAGGATAAATGTTGGTTAACTCATACCAAAGCTTTCAAACAATTACTGCAATTACAGCAGCTGTGCAAGGTGCCAAAATGTTATCCTTGTGTGTTTAGAATTGGTGAATGAATCAAAATTTTAAAAATACACCAAACAAAAAGGAGGTTAACACCTCATTCACTCAGAAAAAAAAAAAAAAAGAAACTCCACAACCACAATAGTTTACCAATTAATCAACTTGCCTACTTTTTAGGGGTATGATTCAAAATGATTTTCCATATGAGTGGAATGGAAAAACAATCACTGTTGGCCAGCACTGCTTATGTTGACATACACAAGCACTGGTGATGCTAATGCTCTCTCTGCATTTTCAGAGTGCATGATCAAAAGGGTTACTTTCTCTGTGCTCTAATACCTGTGCTACTTTCTCTAACTCACCTACCCAAAATCATCTAAAGCTTGGCACCATCTATGTCACATAACACATGCTGCAGGGGATGTCAGGAAAGATCCTGTGCCAAATTCTCTGTCTGATGCTGGATGCAGAACCTTGCCACAAGGCATTATCAGATATGTGGCAGTGGGTACAAGCTGAGTAGGAGCAACAGACCACAGTCCAGGCTACAGTGAGGGTAGCAGAGCTTCCTTAAAAAGTAACAATAATTAATAATTTTGCTTATTTTACCCAGCCAAAAAAAACAACAGGAAGATAACAGACTACTACAGTAACTACTGCAGGTGGATATTTTACATACTGCACTGTACCTGTAAGTTGTTGGGCTGACATTTATTTTTCTAGGTATACTGCAAGATTCAAACTTATTGGCAAGGGTCACATTATTTCCAAAAAGGCAATAACGAGGCATTTTAACCCCAACAACTCCAGCAAAGACAGATCCAGAATGAAGGCCAATGCGCATCTTTAAACAAAAGAAAGAAAACAGCACTATTAGGTAAAATAGAACTGGTAAAGTCAATTTTATAAATTATTCTTCATTTAAAAAAATAAAGAAAGAATGAGCTACTAAACTAAACAGGGTTAGCAGAGTCTCCTTAAAATAGCTGTACTCTGGTCATTACTGCTCATGGAGAGGGAACTAGCTGAAGTTTATCGTGTTCTGCATTTTTAGTCAATAATCCTACCATATCAAAATATGACTGAGTGAACTGCTGTGAACTTAGCTCATACTCAGATTTTTTACTTAGCTGCTGTTTTTTATGGTTCTTTTTGGTAGCTTTTTTTGAGCTGTGTTCTTTTTCTCATGTACATTATACATGTGTAGAGGTGTTTTCTTCAGAACAGCATTCTGACTAAATAATGGCATGATGCCAGGAACCTTGTATGTCTACTCTGCATACTACTCTTTACATATCAAGAGAGTATCATACCAGTATGAAGAAGTTGCAGTTTCTAACTTTGAGTGTAAAAGTAGCAAAACCTGCAACAATACCAAAATCCACCCACATTGAAAAGATGGCTGAAATATATTCATCAAAATGCAAGTCTGATTCAAACTATGTCATTTGCAGTCACACCTTTTTTTTCTTGGCAATTGATATGTAAAATGACAGTAGATTGTGTGACAAATGCATTGCTTTGCACAATATACAATGTTTTCATGAAGCATTTAATTAAAATAGATGCATGCTTTCATTAAAAATATAGTTTGCTTCTAAGAAGCTTCTGGTTAGGTACTTACATAATATTACATTTTATCCTTATTTTAAAATAGTTTAAAAAATGTAGCACTAGCATTTGCATGTAAATTATACACCTGTTATAATATTGCCAGAATGTTTCCAGATTTCTTAAGTGTAACTTAATTTGATACTGCAAAATACAAAAAGAACAATATTTATTTATAATACAATACTGCTGTTCTGTTTGATAAATGTGGAGCATATAATCCTCTTAATAACCATTTTCTTTTTCTCAGAATACAAGTATTCCTTAATTTAAAATTAAAAAAACCTGAAAACCACTAAGCTTTCTGGAGGAACAATGAACAGATAAATGTTAAAAATTAGGAAATGAAAGACATAATGAACTGAGACACCTCTATTAAAAATAATAGGATGGCATTCCAGGCCATTTGAACAACACAGAAGGTCCACATAATTTTTCACGCACACAGACCTTTATTTTTCTTTCTCAGTAAGAGATAATCTTATGTGAAAATTTCAGTACATGTGTAAGTTCTCACTGAAAAGAAGCCATAAATATAATTACCACTGAATTTAACAGTTGCTTTGACAGCATTAACACCATTATCTTATGGTGGTTCAGTATCTGACTGTGAAACAAGAGCAGCAATGGAATCCTCCAAAGCTGCGTGGATTACTACAATCAGAACGTCTTTGGGCATTCATATTCATAGCTTCTGCGTCAAAAGACCTGCAGTCTAATTTGGAAAGAGGATTAGTCATTTCCTTAGAAAAGAGACTATTCCATGCCACTGACAGTTTTATTGCCACTGAGACAAGAACATCAGCATGTCAGATTGCACCTATTCACTTCACTGCATTTGTTTTTTAGGTTGATTTTCAGATCTCTATTTCACCTTTACCACTCTACAAAACTCTCATCCACAAATCTAAAAAGGTCAGCTTCTCCAGCCACAGTCATTTGATTCCCCAAATTCTCTAAGTTAATGCAATGATGTGAAATTTCCTTGAGACAAAATCCCAGAAAGCAATTAAACAAACAAAAGAGCTCAGTTTAACCAAATAAAATGCAATAAAATATATGACCTTGATAGGCTCTCCATGGGGAGACACCACCTCGTCTGACAGTTCCATCATCTTCAGGGCCATCAGTGCTATTTGAACAGCATGTGTTTCACTTTCTTTGTGCAAGCCTCCAGCAACACAGTAGGCATCTCCAATAGTCTCAACCTAAAACAGGCATATTTGTTCCTTACACTTAGACTGTTGATAAATATAAAAGAACTGCCCAAGTTCTTTCAGTAAGAATTGTAGCTAAACATAATTCTTGACTAAGTCTTAGTTTTCCTGCAAAATTATTAAAGTACTGGACAAATCTTGCAGTATCATGCAAAAGGAAAAATTACACAACTTTTATTTATAGCTGGGCATAATTCTAAAATAGTTTTCCTTTTTCATTTACAGTCAGGCACCCCCAGCTACATTAAACACCTGTTTACTCCAGAATCACAGCACTGTCATTGAAGTTAATTTTTAAAATTAACTGTTAAGTTTTGAGGGTTTTTTTCTTGGCTGAATGAACAGCTGTTTGTGTTCACTGGTTTTGTTTGTTTGTTTTGTGATTTATTTTGTCTCATTTGAAAAAGGTTTATAGCAAAATAATTTTTGGACCTCTGTTATCTTCTGTCCCACTTATTCTTAATTTCCTTTCCTGCCCCAGAATCCCAAAGAAAAGCAATGAATTGTGTACCTTGTAGACATCTAGCTCTCCACATTGGTAATCAAAGCGAGTATAAAGCTCATTAAGCATGGTGATAACCTGCATAGGTGAGCATTGGGAACAGATGGCAGTGAATCCAACAATGTCAGAAAACAGCATTGTGACATTATTAAATTTCTTGGCTTGTACAACTTGTCCCTGCCACAGCTGCTGAGCAACCTCTCCAGGAAAAATTGAAAACAGAAGATCTACAGTCTTCTTCTTCTCCTCTTCAAGTGCTTGATGGGCCTGCTCAAGGGTTGCTTTTAGCTTTCCTAACCTCTTCTTCAGTCCATCCTGGGCTCTGGCCTGCTCTCCTATCAGAACAACATCTCTTAAAGCATTGTGAATGGGAATATCAGAGAGGTACAATCCACGTCCTGTAAAATCTTCTAGTCTGTCCACACAGGGAGATCCCAAGAATAGAATGGCACTGGATTCAAAAATATAGATCATTTGGCCTTTAAGATCCATTACCTGAAACAGTTAAAGAAACAAGAATTCATGCAAAACATGCAAGGCAATGGTCTAGAAGTGAGAAATTTTAGAGAAAATACACTTCACTAAAATGTAAGAAAATCAAGACTGGCCCATAGTCCTTACATTTTTATTTAGTTGCTTAGAGAAAACATGGGGTGCTGAATCACAGAGCCATCAAGTAAGTTCATTTTTATTTAGTCCTCTGGTACAAGAGGACCCCAACTTAAGGATAAACCCCTAATTATGTCTGAGTATCAGTTTATCTTAGGGAGAAAAGAAAACCAAAAAGAATAATTTTGTGTATTATCAGCAATTGATAAAATGTGCTAGTATAGTGGCCTCTGAATTTCTACTAATAACTGGTTCATGCACCACTTTCTCCATAAGGTAAAGTGAGAAAATCCGCTTCAGTTTTATCACAGGATGTTCAGTACTCACTGAAATTTAAAATTAAAGGCAGAAATGGCAGGAATATCCAATTTTAATAGTCTAAAAGAGAAAAATATTTTATGTGAAGTGTTTTTATGTCCCTTCTGTATTCAATTGTGTAATGTGAAAGGTGCTGCAGAGCTTAGCTTAACATGGCTCTGAAAGACCACTTGTTTAATAAAATCTGTTCCTTACTAATAGACATTTGCATATGCAAGTACATGCAGAATCAAAGCCAACTCTACTACCCCTTGTAACCGTTCTAGTGCAGAAATGGATCTGAGATGAAGTAGCTACAGCTTTTAATAGTAGCTACTTTAGTAACTGGGTAAAACTTCTTAACTGTTCCTCATTGAAGTTTTTGGAGTGTTGAGTCTGAGTTGGTAATTCATCCCAGAGTGCTTCAGGTGTAGAGAAGCTGGAATTCAGCTGGGACCAGGAACAAATAAAAATACAAGATGATTTTTACTGTCCCAGGTCATTTGCCACAGACCCAGCTTCAGCAGAGATAGTTGTAATCCCATCAGCTGAAACTAAGTGGAACCTTTGGTGATTCTATCTGATGAAAACATGAGAGTATCAAAGATTCCAAAACACCAAAGGCTGAATGTGCACAGAAAACATCTGTTTATTTTCCCCAAACCTAGAGCTGCTCCCAAATAACTCAGGGGCACTTTGTTAAAGCTTTTCCTGCCACTGTCTTTGTGCTGAAGATGCCCTTACTCTCAGCAGCGTGGCTTTATCTCAGTATTTCAATTTATTGAAATAAATCAAATTTGCAGTCAGATTTTACTTCTGTATAAGTCCTAAAGCAGAGTTTTGACTGAACACTGGCTTCAGAATCTGAATTACATTGGACTACCCTAATTAAATCATTATTACGCAGTTGTATCAGATGTAGATAATGCAAAATGCACCACGTTTTGTGGCTAGTTTAACTATCTGAAGAAAAAAAAATCCTGGTAGAAGTAATGGTGATAAAAAGTCTCTTACCATGGATGGTTTCATATCAGTATTATCCCATCTTCTAACTCGTACAGTAAACTGCATATTTAGCATGGTCATTATTGCACTAAAAGTGCAGCTTACTTTGGGGGTAAGAATTTCAAAATACTCTTCAAAATTTGGCTTAGCTTGAAATTCTCTCCTGGTCAAAAGTCTTCTTATCCCATTTCCAATTTGAAGAACTGACATATCCTTGTCAAACATAAAATGAAATGGGAAAGTCTTACAGAACACAGAGGCAGGAATCACAAGTGAAGACTGTGGTTTACATGGAGATAAGGAAGGTTTTGTGCTTTTGACTTGTATAGAATACAGCAAATAAGGCTGATTAGCAAACTCAGTGCAGTCATTATGGAAACAAGGAGGCATGAGCATCACTTCTACCTCAGTTTCATATAAAATATGAGCTGCTGCTTTAATGATACCAGGTAGAATAAGACTTGTGATTTTCTTAGGAAAGAAATAATAAACATTTAAGAAGTCCTGATCTTTCTCCAGGCATAATATGGAGGCATCTTCAAGTCTGTCCTTTTTTCCTGCTTCTTGGCTGTGGCTACTCTGCTTCAGCAGAGTAGTGAAACTATTCAAGAAGTCCTTAAGGGTGCCTCCAATAACCCCTAATATGTGTTCATCCTCTTCATAGCATATTTTGAATAGCTCTTCACCAAGAGATTCCCGTAGAGACTCCACGGGAACACCTGCACAGAACCACATTTTAGTCAGAACTGCACTCATCATTCTGAATCACAGGCTAACCTCCCCATTTTTTTCCAAAACAAACAATCAATATCCTTCCCTGATACAGCATTGACACCTGAAGGCACTCTAATTTAGGAGTCCTGGAAACAAGGACTGGAAATGGGTTGCGGTTTAGAAAGATCCAAGATTCAGTGTTCTTAGTAGAGATGTAAGACAAAATGGATGCAAGTTTTGGCACAAGATTTAACTCAACTCCCCTAGTTTGATCTAAAGGAGTAAAATAAGAAGTTTAAAAACTAACACACAAATAAAATAGGATCTGCAGACCTAAGTACTATGTGTAATCCAGTACATTAAATAACCCTGGGAATATTCTGGAGCACTGAGGCCAATTGGCACTGAATGGCTCACATCATTGCTAGTAAATTTGTTTTACCCAGATAGTTGCATGCAAACTGACTGTTGGAAATATTCCATTTCTCCAACTGTTGCTGGGAATCCTTTGAAAAAGTACTACCTCTCAAAGACCAGCTGTGTGCCTGGACCAGTTTAACAGTTTAAGTGTACAGAAGACCATATTTCAGTTCCAGGAAATGTTAATTTACTATTACAGATGTAGCCAGAGTTACATATTAAAAATTATAGAGCTCTCTTCTGACACACAACAGTCCTCAGAATATGAAGTAATATATTAGTAACAAGACTAATTTATATAAAATATATTTATATAAAATATATTTATATATATATAATAGATACTCTATTTATTTATATATATATTACTAAACAAGCTTAAATTACCTGCTGTAGTAGCATGATCACTGATTATTTTTTCAAAATCTTCTCTATCACCAGTTTTTCTGCAAAGATCATAAAAATATAATAAAACCACTAAATTATCAAGCTAAATGTGGTAAAGACAATAAGTATAGAAGTTACCTTGTCTTTAAAGTGTATAGACTCAGTTCTGCTGATCAAATAATAAGTTTTAATTAATTCAAAAGGGGGTCTTGGTAGGATCTTAGATTATCCTATTGGATAATCTGGTAAATTATCCAATAATCTGGTAATTCTGGTAAATTAAAAGTTTTGTGGTCTGAGCTCAAATTATGGATTTCAGGCAAATGATATTGCCTGTCATTGTAACAGTACTGTTTTTTTGTTTGGTTTGTGTTTTTATCTTGAAGCCAAAACTAAATTTCCTAACACATTGTAAAATATAATTGGCATTTATATTCAAGTATTTTTTGGAATTACAGTGTATTTAATTCAAAAGAGGTCAGAACATATTTCTGCTTTGAGAGGAAAAACAAATAACAACTATTAACTCCAAAATTACTTGTTCATTTTTAGTAATGCAGATATTTGACACAAAACTGCAGCCCTCTGAGTCCTCTGAGGACAATAAATGTCAAACTGAATGTCTGACTCCAAGTTATGAGAAAGACTTATAGCTTAGATTAATCTTCATATAAGCAATAAATGCCTGATACATGCCTTCTGAATTTCTTGACTTGGAATATCATAGGTATATTTATAGGCAAAAGCAACACAGACATTTAGATTTGTTTTACATTGGCATTATTGCCTCCTTCAGAATATCACAGTAATTTTTTCTTTTCAACTGATACTCCAGGGAAGCAACACATAATTAAAGAATGGGAAAACATTCATAGCAATAAGCCAGTCAGCAATTGCAAAGCACATCTGACCCGCTATCTTTGGTTCAGTCAATGTATGTAAAGTGCTTCAAAAATATCAAGTATAATTTAAAAGATACACTGCAATTATCTATTCTTATCATGGTGAGCAACAGTGTAGTTTCCAACTTGATTATTTTTCTTCACTTCAGAAAGCAGATTTAAACTGATGGGCTTATTTTTTCAGATGCATTCAATAAACAGAATCGTCAGAATATCATGAGATGCAAAGGAATTCTAACTCCCTACAAGGCTCAAATGATTAATATTGGATACTAAGAAGTGCTGAAAATTGAGCTGAGTTCCTTAGAAACAGAAACCAGAAGCCAAGTGAGCTCAGGAAAACATCCAAGTTAGTATCTATAGTGTGTGAGTGTTCACTGTATCAGAAACCAAATTCTTTTGTATAATACTAATTGTATTTCAGAATCTTTCCCCGGGATCTTACTGGGCTAGATCCATTTACAACCAATCTATTGCTCCATCTATGCCAGCTGTCTCTGAGCTCCTCCAAAGTCCTTGCCTGCTTTGCTTCCCTGTACAATTTGTCCATTAAGTCAACTTTGTGAATGATGTCAATATTTGTGAATATTTTAAAATAAACTAAATCATTACTAGCTTACATTACATGAAATGTTACACACCAATTTGACAAGATAATTGAATATAAATTCCAGAAGTCTTGATTCCCAGTCACCACCCCATTCCTGTCTGAAAAACATTATTGCACTGATACAACATTATTGCAGTGTAGTTACAAACCCATTACACTTACATACCTGGTTTCTTTTATTCTGTGTTTTGCAAGTGTTCTCTGCAGTGCAAGATTTAGCCTTTCAAACTGGGGAAAAAAATAAGTATGTCATATGCATATATGTCATTGTTGAAAATTTAATCATGAGGTAACATTTTTATACACAGAATTTCTTTGCCATCCTTGGGACTAACAACTTTTATTCAAGACAGTATTGTTGTTAGAAACAGCATGTCACTTCTGTGGTTATGGGGTTTACTTTATGTTCATCTCTTCAGCTCCAGTACCACTGTAATTAAAATTAAAAAATTAAGTCCCTCAGTAATTAAGCCCCTCAGTTCATGTGCACCAGTGGTAGTGTATTTTAAAAACAGTGATGTTCTTTAGCTCCAAGTTTTCAGATGGCAATAAAGACAGTGCTGCTAAGAAATAACTAACACAGCTCTCTATTATTACAAATCCCACCTCCCAAAAAATCCACAGAGTACCATGAATACAAAATTATTTTAAAGAAAAGAATAATTTTCACTGTGTATGCCACGACATCCTCCAAATGAAAATCTAGTCATTGTAGACAGCCTTTATTAAAGGATTCCTGAATAAAAGAAACTTTAGAGCATAACGAATGTTTGCCTTAAAATACTTCAATCCCATGATTCCATATTCCTTTTGCAGTTCCTAATAGGAACAGATGGAACATTTTCCAAATATGTGTATTTCAAATTGTTAGGGCCAGTAAAGCTGTCATATGTATGTAGCCTCTGACATTCAAACCCCAAACTTCCCCCACAGACAGGGTCATAGAATAGTACTATACTGGCATGACAGAATTCAGCTGTGAGGCTTCCTGTGGCCTGGCTTTTCTTTGGTTCTCTTTCCCTAAAGAAACCAGCAGCTTTTACTGCATCTTTTCCTTTTTGTATTTCCAGGAGGAAAGTTTGCACAACCAAAGAAAATATCACATGAAAGAAAGACATATTCTGTAAATGTTCTCCAAGGAAAAATCTAAAGTGAATTAGATACATATATACATATCTATATATGAATATATAGAACATGTATATGAACACAAAATAAATTACATCTGTGTAGAAACCAATACAGTAAGTGGAACGCCATCCAATCCATTACTTATAAATGAGCAATGTTCTCCACATTTCTGGAAAGAAAGAAGCAAATTAAACAACAACATGCACTACATTATATCCCAAATTTAATCAGAAAGTTGTCTGGATGCACTTTGTCCTGGACTTCCAAGCATAGCTTGCTGTCTCCATGAGAAGTTCACGGTTCAACAGGGGTCATGATGCAGCCCCGTTTTGGAGCTTCCAGTTGGAAGGAAGATGACGTTACTCAATGACATTTAAGTAAGGTAAATTTTCTAAGCAATGAAAAATACGTTTCTAAACAAGAAAAGCCCTTTTATGGAAAAAAAGGATTAGGAAGATGCTTAGGGCTTGAACCTAAATCAGCATGAGAACAGACTTGGAAAATCTTCTGATGCATATGACTTGAATAATTGTAAATAATAACAATGATAACCTTGAATTTCAGTGGTTCCTAGGCTACATGGTCATAATACCTTTGCTTTGCCAAGCTTTGTCGCAGATGATGAACTAGCCTATCATAATTATGTAATAGGCAACTGTATACATTTATACTACTCTTTAAAGAGGAAAAAAATACCAGTTATTAAAAATCCCATGAACAACTATATACTAGAAAAGCAATGCAGCAATCATGACATCCTGGAAAGGGTGCTTTGCCAGTTCATTTTTGGGTTGCAAGTATTTTTCTTTATAAATTTAGGGATCAGTTTAAAGGTTTAAAGGAATGCATTCCATCTGTATAAATGCAGCAGAGGTAAAAAGATCTGCATAACCAGATCTGCAAATAGATTTAAAAAACTCCAGCACTTTAAGTTATATACACCAAATGTCCAAGTAATGGAATTGTAATAAAATGAGTGCGCAGAATTGTCCATTTGCTATTTCCAGTCCTGATATGTCAGTCAGTTCCTTCAAACCTCCCACTGAATTTGAGACAAGGCCAAGAGCTGGATGTCAGAGAGCTGCATTTTTCATGTTCTTTTTACAGAGATAAACCATGGTATTCATCTCCACTCAAGCAAGCCTAGGCCTGTTTTCAGTTAAGTTGAGCAGAGACATAAGAATATCTTTGTGGTAAATACGAACAGTAATGGTTTTAAAAATAGTATGACAGGAGGTTAGTATCACAGCAGATGGAAACATCTATTTTAATTTTTTTGTGATAATGACTAATGCACTTAGCAGTTTGGATTCAGTTAGGTGAACTGATGAGATGACCACATAATTTACATAATTAGGTAACAAGGCAGAATTTCTATTACTATATCTCTATGTTAAAAAATGGTACAAAAATAGATGGATTTAAAAATAACAATTAAAAAGATCAGTGTAAGGGTGCAAATGCAAGGCAAAAATAAAGGAAATACAGTGGAAGGAATGGGGTTTATGACACAGATTGTGGCAAAATTATGTCCAGAAGGAAGGGAAGTGGATTTAAACTAGGGAGAACTACATAAGAATACAAACTTTTAAGTCAAAGCAACTTTCTAAGGGCTTATATCTAAAGGCAGGCATAGAATGCTTTTTTAACATTTATAGTTAAATGCTATTAAAGTTTTATTTAGTATCTATTTACCTCAGGAAAGATTAGTTTGCAGATGCTTTCAGTTAGTGTGTGCAGGTACACTCTACTTCTGCTCGTTTTCCTTTTTGGAAGGTTTCCTTGACCATCTTTTTCATGGACTTCTTTGCAGATGGGCAAAGCTGCTCTAGAGCTGTTTTCTGTGCAGTCCTTGTCATGTTCCTCAGTAATGTGACCTTGAGTCAGTAAGGAGAAAGGACATTCTCCTGTGATCTTCAAGTCTTTCAGTTTTGTACAGAACATACTGTACGAAGTCTCTCTCTTGAGATTAGGAGTACTTAGCTCTATGTTTACTAACAAGAGCAGAAGATGCCAGAATAATAAGTTGATAAGGCAACCGCTGTGGAAGGTTATTGGTAGCTATAAATCACCACAGGAAAAATTTTCTGCCCCTACAAAACAAGAAAGAAAAAAAGAATTACAAACATTTATTTTCTCTTTTAAATTCTGACGATGTGCTGTTTTTGTCTTAAGTACATTAAAATAATGGCTTTTTGAGGACTTAGCTCAGGAAAGCACTTACTCTTGTCCCATTTTAAGCATGTAGTATCTACTGGCTTCAGTGCTTTGGGTAACTCAAGCTGAGTGCATGGTGAAGTTTTGTACGAGTTGGGACTCAAGTGGTCAAGGCAGAGGACTTGCCTTGCCCAATGCGTATTTGGTCACATTGATGGATGAGGTTTCTGAAAGTTGAATTCCAATGAGGAAACCTTTTTGACTCTTTATAAGTAACTATTAAAAACTATCTCATGGCACATGAAACAGATCAGTTATGAATACTTAAATCTAAATTTACTTGATGTCCAAGATATCCTTTATGTAACAGAGAAACATATGACTGAAGTTAGCGTGTGTACTTAAACAGTAAACCATCCAAGACCAAAGGTTAGAGTCTCTTGTAAAAACAACTGACTAGTGACAACTCACATCTTGGGAATTTGACCACACAACTGCAGTTGCTTGGAAACACTAAGGGATTTTTATACTTTTGAAGGTGGTATTTTCCAAACAACACATTAAACTTTTAATTTTACTAATGGTTCTATTTGTTACAGGGCCAAAGCCCAGCTAGAACTTAATCTGACTACTGCTGTAAAACACAAAAATGTTTTTACAAATACATCAGCAACAAAAGGAGGGCTAAGGAGAATCTCCATCCTTTACTGCATGCAGGAGGAAACATAGTGGCAAAGGACAAGGAAAAGGCTGAGGTACTCAATGCCTTCTTTGCCTCAGTCTTTAATAGTGAGAACAGTTGCTCTCAGGACACCAAGACCCTGGGCTGGAAGACAGAGAGCAGAATGATGCTCCTATAAACCAGGAGAAAATGGTCAGTGACCAGCTACACAATTTAAGATACACAAGTCCATAGGGCCAAACGGGATTCACCCAAGGGTCTAAAGGCAACTGGCAGAAGAGCTCACCAAATCATCTTTCATTTACCAGCATTCTTGGCTAATTGGGCAGGTCCCAGTTGACAGGAGGTCCGTTAAGATAATGTCCATCCACAATTCAGAGGGAGGATATCACCTTACAGCCTGACTTCAGTCAGGCTCAGTCATCCAGGGAAGGTCATGGAGCAGATCATCTTGAGTACCATCATACAACACATGCAGGGCAACCAGGGGATCAGGCACAGCCAGCATGGGTTTAGGAAAGGCAGGACCTGCCTGATAAGTCTGGTCTCCTTCTATGACAAGGTGACCTGCTTAGTGAATGAAGGAAAAAGATAAAATCTACCCAGACTCAATTAAAGACTTTGACACCATTTCCCACAACATTCTGGAGAAACTGGCAGCTCATGGCTTTCACAAGAATATCCTTTGCCAAGCAAAGAACTGGCTGGATGACTAAGCCCAGAGAGTACTGGTGAATGGCGTTACATCCAGTTGGCAGCCAGTCACTAGTGGGGCTCCCCACAGCTCAGTACTGGGGCCAGACCTGGTTAATATCTTTATCAATGAACTGGACAAGGGGATTGAGTGAATCCTCAGTCAGTCTGCAGGCAGCACAAAGATGGGTGGGAATGCCGAGGGATCTGGACAGGATGGATCTATGCACTGAGGCCAATCATATGAGGTTCAACAAGCAAAGTGACTGTCCCTGCCCTTGGGTCACAAGAGCCCCATGCAGTGCTACAGTCTGAGGGAGAGTGACTGGAAAATTGTCTGGCAGAAAAGGACCAGGTTCTGGGCATGCTGGTCAACAGCAGCTGAACATGAGCCAGTGTGTGCCCAGGTGGCCAAGAAGGCAAATGGATCCTGGCCTGGATCAGCAATAGTGTGGCCAGCAGGACCAGGGCAGTGATCACCCCTCTGTACTCAGCACTGGTGAGATCACCCCTTGAACCCTGCATCCAGTTCTGGGCCCCTCACTACGGGAAGGACACTGAGGTGCTGGAGCATGTCCAGAGAAGGGCAACGGATCTGGGGAAGGATCTGGGGTACAAGTTTTATAAGGAGCAGCTGGGGAAGCTGGGTGTGTTTATCCTGAAGAAAAGGAGGCTCAGCCAAGACCTTACTGCTTCTAAAAGGAGGCTGTAGCAAGCTGAGGATCAGTCTCTTCTCTCCGGTAACAAATGTCAAAGAAGAATCAGCCTCCAGTTTTAACAAGGGAGGTTTAGACTAGATATTAAGAAACATTTCTTCAAAGAAAGGGTGCACAAAAATTGGAACAGGCTGTGCAGGGAAGCAGTGGAATCATCATCCTTGGAGGTATTTAAAAGATGTGTAGAAGTGGCACGTAGGGACACGGTTTAGTGAAGATGATTTATTTCAGTTAGGCAGTCTGAAAAAGGCTCTTTCTTTAATTTTCTATTGACTGTATCTCATTGAATCAGATCCTCTCATCGTCATATAATACTCTTTAAAAATAATCCTCGAGAGCTTTTGGCGACTCTGGAGGCAGCTAAGTATTACATTTTTCTCTCTGGAGATACAACAACTACTTCTCTCAAAGGCACTACTTTAGTGCCTTTATTTAATAAGCCTGTGCACGACACCATTTGTTTCTGCCCCTGAGACACCCTAAGGGCATTTGGGGTCACACGGCAACTGTATCAGGGTTAAAAATAACTAATTCCCTGATACAGGTTATCAGCTGCTGCTTTTGAAACAGCTGGAATAAATGGCACAGCAGAGGAATGCTGCAGACACAGCACAAATGGCACGGATAAAAGGAGAAATAGACAGGGGCTACTTTGATTGGACCTGCTGCTGAGAAAAATATTTGGCAGAAAAGCCCCTTTAAAGTATGCTGTAATACTGGTGGTGTCAGACCAGGCTCTAGGGGGCATCTATCAAAATTAACATCTTATTTTAAGAATCAATAAACACAATGCTAAGAACAAGAGGCTGAAGAATGTTTACATAACATTTTATATTTCTGATTTCAGTTTTTACACAAAAATTCATTTGTCTCTGCTGCCTGGACATCAGCAATACTTCATTTTTTTATTGCTGAATAACACTGGGTAGCAAATAAGGCAGTGAAAAATTTAAAGCAAGAACCATACTCCAAATACATAAATATACATTATACTTTAAGCATTGTTACAGATACATAGATGGATATTTTTATTCAGAAGCCATTACATACCCAATATTACTACACTAAGAAATAAAAGCAGAAAAGAACCATATTTTATGTAGTTGGACTGATGTGTGACTGATGTGTGGACTGACGTGTGAAGTTAAACACACATATATACATGCACAATTGTCAAACTTTAAAAAAATTATGGCTCTGATGGGTCTTACATTTATACTCAGATGCTTTGCTGGATTCGGGCCTTAAATTTCAAGATAAATTTTGAATTTATAAAATAACCACTAAAATTTCTTAAGTCAAGTATATTAGCAGTTTGAAAGGAAAAAAAGACTCTGAAATACATTTCTGTAAAAGAATGTAGAATTAAACATTTTAAACATCTCCCAGGGAATGCAACACTGCAAATGCAGATGCTGCTATTTAAACAGACTTAAGAAAAAAATTCTCAGTGAAGAATGTAAGAGTGAATTAATGGCTAAATTAGACAGCAACAAATACGTACTGCATTGGCACTAACCGAAGAACAAAGAAAGTGAATGACCTTCATCAATTACCAATGAGTTTTCAGTTTCTTTGGATGATTTTTCCTGCTGATTAAGTTATTTCTCTATTTTTAGAAAACAATTCTCTGGAAGTATTTGGAGTTCACTTCCATGCTATCATATAGTATTTTAACTAAATCACATTTATTGAGATAGGAAAAATATCCAGGCAGGTAGAATCAGTTCAGAAAAGGAAGTGATGCCATTGTTTTACACCTGAAAAGTCTCCAGAAGCTGTCAATTGAAAAGAGGTCCCAGAAGATGGTCATGGGACAAGACATTGTCAGGGGCAAAATGGACACTAATGTGAAGATCTCTGAGTTGACAAAGCTGCTGGACATGCAGCTACTGTGTCTGCAGCTTCTTTTTGTGAAGCCACCCTGTGTGCTGCAGGACACCTACATTCAGCCTTGTCCTGCCCTGGTGGGGACTGGAATCTTTGCCCTTGATCTGAACACTATTTTGGGCTCCTGCCAGTTGCTATTTATGAAAATATCATAACTGATTTGGAAGAATGTGGATATCCATGATGTTTCTAGCAATAATACTTTTGTACAAAACCAATACCAGATCTTTTAAAGTCCAAATAATGAAGACACAGAGAGAGTTTTCTGAAGAACCATTTTCAAAGGATCCTGAAGTTCTTGTTTTCCCAGAAACAAATTGTATGGCTCTTTGATAACAGAGATCCCAGTTCAAAACCATTATCAATTTAACAGGTATAACAATTTTCAAGCAGTGGTCAGTTCAAAACTCTTCCTGACCTCAGCAACAACAAAACCCCCTAAATCACATCTTTTAATAAACAAAGAGGAAAACCTAAATCCATGACACTTTAGAGGATTCAAATACTGAAAAAACCCTCTGTCTTCTTTAATTAAAACATCAAGTTTGCATCTGCTGCATCTTGCACTTAATTTAAGTAATGTTCAGAAAAAAAGTCTATTGTATTACAGGAGAATCTGTCTCACTCATATAGTAATTAGACAGTGATGTTAAAGGTCTGACAGGAGAAAGATAATGAATTCCCAGTGCGGAGATTACAGAAGGAATTTCAGCAGTATGATGGACCTTAAAAAGGTATGAGAAACATGATACCACACATCACAGTTTAAGTCAAGCATCTGCAGATGTGTTCCAGGAATGAGGAACACCAGCCCTCCCACTGTTCACCATGTCTTTAGACATTTTCTGACCATAACAAAAAAACCAAAAAGAAACATGAAAGTAGTTTCTGGTTTTGATTCCTCTCCAAACATGGTTTGAGAGAGCTCATCCCAGGGGAGTAACAGTGTCTAATG